GCAGTAAGCACTGTCTGGGCAATATTTCATTTAATCCTCAGAATTACCCTCTGAAGAAGGCACTGTTATTTTCATGCCCATTTGTAAGAAAACTGAGGCACAGAGACAGGAAACAACTTTCCCAGGTTATCCATTTAAAGAGTGAGCAGTTAAGAGCCAAAGCCAGGTTCCTCTGATCCACAATCCAAGTTCTTTTTTTTTTTTTTTTTTTTGAGACGGAGTCTCGCTATGTTGCCCAGGCTGGAGTGCAGTGGCCGGATCTCAGCTTACTGCAAGCTCCGCCTCCCAGGTTCACGCCATTCTCCTGCCTCAGCCTCCTGAGTAGCTGGGACTACAGGCGCCGCCATCTCACCCGGCTAGTTTTTTGTATTTTTTTAGCAGAGACGGGGTTTCACCATGTTAGCCAGGATGGTCTCGATCCCGTGACCTCGTGATCCGCCCGTCTCGGCCTCCCAAAGTGCTGGGATTACAGGCTTGAGCCACCGCGCGCGGGCCACAATCCAAGTCCTTAACAATTACACGAAGATGGCACTGGAAGTAAGTTTTTAATCACATATACAGATAAAATGACTGTCTTTAAAAAAACATGCAGCACAAAATATTTTTTTACACTAAGAAAATCAAAAATTTCAACTCTACCTTCTAAATATTTTGGAGCTGCTATTGTCATTCTTACTTGATTTCTTTTTAATTTTCCTTAAATTCTTTGATGTTTTTAAAAATGAAAAGTAACATCTCTTTGGTTTGTCATCTTTTTGCATTTTTTTAACTTTTAAGTTCAGGGATACACGGGCAGGTTTGTTATATAGGTAAATTTGTGTCATGGGGGTTTCTTATACGGATTATTTCATCACCCAGGTATCAAGCCTGGCTGATGAAATAGGTATTATTAATACCTGGGTGATGAAATAATATATATTAGTTATTTTTTTTTCCTGATCCTCTCCCTCCTCCCACCCGCCACCCTCCGATAGACCCCAGTGTGTGTTTTTCCCCCTGTGTGGCCATGTGTTCTCATAATTTAGCTCCCATTTATAAGTGAGAACATGCAGTATTTGATTTTCTTTTTCTGCATTACTTTGCTAAGGCTAATGGCCTCCAGCTCTATTCATGTTCCTGCAAAGGACATGATCTTGTTCTTTTTTATGGCTACATAGTATTCCATGGTATACAGGTACCACATTTTCTTCATCCGGGTTATCATTGGTGGGTATTTAGGTTGATTCCATGTCTTTGCTATTGTAAATAGTGCTGCAATGAACATATGCATGCATGTATCTTTATAAAAGAATGATTTCTATTTTTTGGGTATGTACCCAGTAATGGAATTGCTGGGTGGAATGGTATTTCTATCTTTAGGTCTTTGAGGAATTGCCACACTGTCTTCCACAATGGTTGAACTAATTTACACTCCCACCAACAGGGTATAAGCATTCCTTTCTCTCCACTACCTTACCAGCATCTTATTTTTTGACTTTTTAATAGTATCATTCTGACTGGCATTAGATGATATCTCATTGTGGTTTTTGATTTGCATTTCTCTGATGATTAGTAATATTGAGCTTTTTTTCATATGCTTGTTGATTACCTGTATGCCTTCTTTTAAAAAAATGTCTGTTCATGTCCTTTGCCCACTTTTTTATAGGGTTGTTTAGTTTTTCCTTGTAAATTTGTTTAAGTTACTTATAGATGCTGGATATTAGAGCTTTATCGATGCCTAGTTTGCAAACATGTTCTTCCATTCTGTAGGTTGCCTGTATACTTGGTTGATAGTTTCTTTTGCTGTGCAGAAGCTCTTTCATTTAATTAGGTCCCATTTGCCAATAATTGCTTTTGTTGCAATTGTTTTTGATGTCTTTGTCATGAAATCTTTGTCCATGCCTGTGTCCTCAATGGTATTGTCCAGGTTGTCTTCCAGGGTTTTTATAGTTCTGGGTTTTACAGTCAAGTCTTTAATTCATCTTGAGTTGATTTTTGTATATGTTGTAAGAAAGGGGTCCAGTTTTAATCTTCTCTGTATGGCTAGCCAGTTATCCCAGCACTTTTTATTGAATAGGACATCTTTTCCCCATTGCATGTTTTTGTCAGGTTTGTTGAAGATTAGATAGTTGTAGGTGTGTGGTCTTATTTCTGGATTCTCTTCCTCAATTTTAGGGCTCATTATTGATCTGTTCAGGGATTCAATTTCTTCCTGGTACAGTCTTGGAAGGGTGTATATGTCCAGAAATTTATCCATTTCTTCTAAATTTTCTAGTTTATGTGCATAGAGATAATCATGTAGTTTTTGTCTTTAGTTCTGTTTATGTGATGAATCACATTTATTGATTTGCATATGTTAAACCAACCTTGCATCCCAGGGATAAAGCCTAATTGATCATGGTGGATACGCTTTTTGGTGTGCTGCTGGATTCAGTTTGCCAGTATTTTGTTGAGGATTTTTGCATTGAAGTTCATCAAGGATATTAGCCTGAAGCTTTTGTTGTTGTATCTCTGCCAGGTTTTGATATCAGGATGATGCTGGCCTCATCAAATGAGTTAGGAAGGTCTCCCTCCTACTCAATTTTTTTGGAATAATTTCAGTAGGAATTGTACCAGTTCTTCTTTGTACAACTGGTAGAATTTACCTGTGACTCCATCTGGTACTGGATTTTTTTATGGTTGGTAATCTATTCCAGATACCTGGATGTAAGGAATTTATTCTTTTTCAAAGCAACATATTGGCACTTTAAAATAAAAAAAAAGGCTGTCCGTGGAAAGTACTTTGTGTTTTTCAAAGACTTTTTCTCTGACTATAACACTCTTACTTACCACTAACTCCTTTGCTTTCCAGCCAGTGGGTAAGGAAGAGAGGAATTAAAAGGAAGGAAATAAGTTGGTGCTCTTGGCAGTTTGAAAAGCCCTTCCCTGTTTTGAATCTTAGCATTTCCCTTTTTGTCAACCATTCTCTCTTCCCCTGACATGGACCATTCCCACAATTCATTTATACTCACTCTGACACTTCAGCCTTACTTGCTAACTTTATACCCTGATGCATCCACCTATCACTCACTTATTCTCCCTCTTTTTTTCTTCTTTAGCATAGTATTTGCCATCATTATGAATTCCTGAATCACAGAAAAAAAAGGTTAAGAAGAGCCAGAAGATCAATGTGCTGGCAGGATGATTTCCTTCAGTTTCAGGTTTATGAGAAACCCCTAACATTCATCCCTGGGTTTGCCCCAGACGATTTCTTCCCTGGCCCTCAATGCTTAATCCAGCTCACTCTTCCCCCTTTTATGTTTGTTCTTTAGTCTAGACACTGCGAGACACTAGAGTTTGGCAAAAATAATTGCTAATGGAGGCACGTGTGTGTGTGTGTGTGTGTGTGTATGTATTTCTCACTACATATTAATGAGCAATATGAGTAGATCAAAGAAATCTCAATTCTTCCCTTTCTTTTTCTGTCTTCCTGCAAACAGATATTGAAAAGTGTCTGACTACAGATGTATCAAGCAAAATGCAACGTTGTCAAAGGCATGTGAGAAACCTGAAAAGATATCACAGTATCTGTCAATTACGAAGCACCTATTATGGAAACGGCATTGTGCCAGATCCTTTGCATGACTTTTCTTCTTTAAGCATGACAACAGCCTTGCAGGAGACTATCAATATTCCCATTTTACAAATGAAGAGATTCAAAGATTTTTGGTGATTTACCCATTATCACACAGCCTATCAGTAGAGAATCTTCATCTTTAAATGGGATCCCAACATCCTTGGTGTTCTTTTTTTCCTGAATATTACACTCATTTATAATAGGGTCCTAGAAAAGGAGGACCCTTTTATAGTTAATTTAGGTCAAGGCAGAGGTCAAAGGAGAAAGGGTGGACGTTGGAAACAGTGCCCTTCCCTGGAAGGGTTGGAGCCTATACCCACAGACACAGTCTTGGCCAGATAACCCTACACCTTTAATTCCACACTAGCCTGATGTCTAATTTGCCTTCTTGTGTAGACATCTGCTCTTGCAGCCTTTCAAAGAGAAACCTTCTGAGTACTGTATTTTAAAAATCTTCCCATATTCTTAACAGTCTATGCTAATACAAGTCCTTGGTAAGACAGAGAGAGCATGAACTTAGAAGTCAGATTTCTGCCTGAAGCCAGACTCTGCTGCTTACTAGCTTACTGGGCAGCCAGGGGAGGGTGTACGAACCTCTCTGACTGTCAGTTTTCTCACTCATGAATAATGATAATAACTAATGTTTGTGATATTTATTAAGCACTTAATATATTCCAGACACTGTTGTACTTGCTTTAAGACTATTAACTCATGTAATCTTCGTACAAAATTATGAGGTAGATTCATTATCCATCTCCATTTACCAGAGAGTTGAGGCACAGAAAGTTAGATAACCTGGATTCAAACAGACATTTCGGCTCAGTGCTTCTCAAACGTGATTTTGTCCTCCAGGGGACGTTTAGCAATGCCTAGAGATATGTTTGGTTGTCATGATTGGGACATGTGACTGGCATCTAGTAGGCAGAGGCCAGGGATGCTGCTAATCAGCCTATGATGCACAGGACGAACCTCCATATCAAAGAATAATCTGGTTTCAAATGTGAGTAGCGGTGAGGTTGAGAAACCTTGTTCTAGCTCCAGAACCCAAGCTCCTAACTGCTGTACTGCCTCCCAGTTGACATCGTGACAATATGCTGCTCTCACAGAGTTCTTACGAAGATAAAAGAAGCTTAATTAACATTGACTGTCACTCATTCCACACCTGGCAGCTAGTGACTTTCCATTAAGTAGCTTTCCCTCCTCACCAACCTTGCCTTCTCCTCTCCCAAGAAAAGCAGGGTCCAGGGAGATCTGGAGAGCTAACTTCTACCTTTCAGAATGACCAGAGAACAACATAGTTCCAGTTTGCAGTATGGCTTTTGTATAAAAAATGTCTGGAGTCCGTTATTAGTGCCTGAATTTCCCAGCTTGGCTGAATAACCGCTGTTTATGTTTATGTTTACAGTCGACTTGGGAATAAGTGTCAAGACGGATAATGTGGCCACTTCTTCCCCCGAGATAATGGAGATAAGTGCTGTTGCGGATGCCAACGGAAAGAATCTTGGGAAAGAGGCCAAACCCGAGGCACCAGCTGCTAAATCTCGTTTTTTCTTGATGCTCTCTCGGCCTGTACCAGGACGTACCGGAGACCAAGCCACAGATTCATCCCTTGGATCAGTGAAGCTTGATGTCAGCTCCAATAAAGCTCCAGCAAACAAAGACCCAAGTGAGAACTGGACACTTCCGGTGGCAGCTGGACCGAGGCAGGACACAGATAAAACCCCAGGGCACGCCCCGGCCCAAGACAAGGTCCTCTCTGCCGCCGGGGATCCCATACTTCTCCCACCTGAGGCAGGGGGAGCAGGAGGAGAAGCTCCCTCCAAGCCCAAGGACTCCAGCTTTTTTGACAAATTCTTCAAGCTGGACAAGGGACAGGAAAACGTGCCAGGTGACAGCCAGCAGGAAGCCAAGAGGGCAGAGCATCAAGACAAGGTGGACGAGGTTCCTGGATTATCAAGGCAGTCCGATGATGTCCCTGCAGGGAAGGTAAGTGTGCCAAGGTGTATCCACTTTGTTCTGAACACATGCTTGGGGGCACTAATGGGATAAGACCACTGCACATATGCAGTCAGTCACCCTGGGCCTAGGCAAGGTAGCAAGCTGTTGACCCCTCTAGAACAAATAGCACATTGTAGCAGAGTGTCACCCTGATGTTTCTCTGGTTAGAAACATCTGCATGAAGAACAATAACAGCTGTGGCATCTGTTTTATGTAAAAGAAAAGAGGAGGTGAGTTACATGCAGATGAATTTGTCCATCCATTTTTCAAAGGCAGAAGTAGACAGGTTGCATTTACGATCAATAGATCCTGGATGGAAAGGCATTAGTGGAATAAAAATGGTTCCTAAAAGATGCTACCTAGTCTCTGTAGTTTGTTGACATGCAGAGTTTTGTTGGAACACATTTCCTTTCTTACTCTTAATGGCCTGAATTGATATTAACTATCTTTTGCACTATGGTATGTGTTTGGATAAAGAGATTTTACAGCTCTGGGCAGACTCTTTAATGTACTAATTCTTTTCCAACAAAGGGGAGCATAATACCTTTGTAAAAATTAGGGGGATTTTTTGTTTGTTTGTTTTGGGGTTTTTGTTTGTTTGTTTTGTTTTCAAAGAAGGTATCAGTCACTTTTTTTCCTGAGCAAACAAAGGCAAGCTCTTTTTGACACTAAAAAGAGCATTTGCTTTTAACCTTGAGAGAGCTTGTTTGTATTCAAGGCAGGAAAAGAACTCCTTAAAACAAGAAGGAAGTAAACTTTGATACATTATAGGTTTAGGGCGTGCATTTCCTTGGTTAACAAACTTTTAAAATAACAATATTTTTCAAAACTTAGGAATAAAGTTAAGTGCCACTAGCAGACTTTAGAGCCAGGAATAAAATGGATGAGTTCCAAATATATTTGTCTTAATAACAATGCAACTTTGCACTTCCGGAGTGCTAATAATTACACTTGCTGTCATTTATTGAAAATGTTCAATGTGCCAGGCTCTACTCTAAGCACTGTATGTAAATTATTTTATCGAAAATATTCAATGGGCCAGGCTCTACTCTAAGCACTGTATGTAAATTATTTTCCTTAACGAAAATGAGTATCATGTTAATCTGTGGTTTTAATGCATCCAGGGTGCCGTGAAGAATTACATTATGAAGACTGGGCACCACTGAACATTCTGGAGAGTTAGAATTGGGAAAAGATAGTCGGGATCATGTGTTTTAGGCTCTTACTGTCAGCATTCTTGTGGTTTCTATACATTTTGACTCAGAGCTTATTTCCAACATTTCTTTCAGAGTTTGAAAATTTTCCCTTCAAACACGCACTTTCCAGTTTGAAAAGCCAGTTGAATAGCTTGCCATATAATTTAAAGTGAGTCTCCAAATGCATCCAGGCATCTGCTGCTTACTAAGTGTGACACTGGGCCAGGCACGGGTGAGGCACAGGGACCATAGTGGAGAGCGAGACACAGAGTCTCCGCCCTGGTGGAGTTCACTGTTCAGTGAGAGAAGTGAATAAATACACCTGCAATTGCAATGCAAGATGCCAAGTGCTGTGCTGGGGGAGCAGAGAGTGGGGGAAATGCCAGACGCCAGGAGAATTGGGCTCTGTGGCCCAGGGAACATTCCATCAAATGCATGAACCGGGACCTGAAAGTTACGTGTACGGAGGCGGTAAACTGGTCATCAATATTCCTGCATAAGGGAAAAACTGCTTATTACTTGTGCCTGAGTGGGGAAACCATTCTCATTATTGGTCATAGACTTCTAAAGCCACTTGAGGTTGTGATTATTTAACAGTCAAGTGTTTCTTTTGCCTGGGCATCCAAAGCCTATCCATTGGCTGAGTTAGGAGAAGATTGAGTTATTTATGGAAAGACAATGAAGGAATGCATTTTACTCATCTCTGCACAGGTGTCCAGTGATTCATCCAAATCCCCATCTTAATTAAGTAAACCAGTTCAGCATAGGATAGCCAGCCCTCCAACGTACTCAGCCATAAAACCTCAACACACTCAATCTATTTCTAGTCTAAGAAAAGCGAGGAAAAGTTTTGGAGTTGTGATTTATTAACTCAGCTTTCTTTATTGAAAAGGAACTCTTAGGGACAGAACCTCAATTTGAGTGGAATGTGTTCCAAAATGAGATTTGAGTCAGAAAATGGGAGCTTGTGTTGGGAACATGGCAGGTATCTAATAGAGCAAAGCCCTTGTGTAATATTTTCAAGTTACAATGATCTCTCAGAAGACTCAAGAATTGTAACTGCCTTCCTTTCTGAATAAGTGAATTCACTCCCTCAGATTCACCAATGAAGTCTGAATCTGATTTTGTTACATTACAAATTTCCATTTTTTTCAGTGATATTGAAGTTTGAAACACTGAGTGCCCACTTTGTACCATGTACATATGAAACACAGAAAAGTTATGAAATGGCCATTTCTCCCTCAGCCTGTGAACTTGTGGATATCCAGATGCATATGCCTGCAAAGATTTTTAACAGCAACAACAAAACAGCCTTCTGATTGTCAAGGTTTCTTATCTGACTCCCGGCTGCATAGTTCTGTATTTAGCGGGGAAAAAAGCAATTGTTCTATAAATGTAACGAGACAATCCAACCCTCAGAAAGTAACATGAATAAAACTTCTCAATCAGTGGCTTTCTTGGTGGGAGTACCACATTGTGCATGGATGGACGTCAGTGTATTGATTCAGAATTCTTAGGGTGAATTATGCCTTGGGCTCAGCCGCGTCCACTGCCCCCCCTCCAGGAGCCCTTCCCCCCACTTTTATGGCTTGCTCCCTGCTGGATTGGAATTCCAACCACAAACCCACAGAGCTGTGAATTAGGAGAAAGATGCCACCATTTCATCCTGGGGGAAACACACAAATCTTCTGTGTTTTCAGAACGACAATCTTATTTTTGTGCCTTATAAAACTACATTCAGGGCATAGCATAATTAAAACAAGGCAAGAATTCATGAACAAATGAAGCATTTACTACATAGGCCAAAGAAAAGATAAATTATATGCCTGAAAGGTTTCACTGAGCTGTGATTCACACAAACCAATGTGTTGGCAAGGATGAGGTTTTTTTTTCCTCTCCCCACAACAACTGAACCAGAGCTGTAAGATATGCATTTAAAAGATTCGTCACACACAAAAAATAATCACATAATGCAAACTTGACTTTTATTGGTTAAAAATAAAACCCACCAAATTTCTGTTATCAACACAGTACTTCCAGAGATGTATTTGTGTTGAGTGGGGGTGTGGGGTGCTTAAAGTGTTGCCAGGCAGAGTTGCATAAGATTGAAGAATATCTTTTTTCTTTAAAAGATGTAATTAAATCCTGCAGTCGTTACTTTAGCACCAGCCTTGTGCAAGGCATTTGAAAAATAAATCCTGTTTCTAGACTTTCAAGGAGTGTATAATCTAGTAAGAGACATAATATTTTAAGAGACATTGTGATAAGTACATCAGTCCTCAGGTTGGCTCAGGCTACTAATAATAAGAACAATATTCTGTGCTTTCACTTCCCTTCTTTTTTCTCTTGAACACACTCCATTCAGGCTCTTGTCACAGCCGCCATGATGTTGCAAATTCCCCACCATCACCCTGGTTGCCAAATGCTATAGATCTCTTTGTCCTAGTAGATCTGACCTGCAAGTTGAATCTGACACAGTGAGTGGGTGGGCCACACCTTACTGCTTGAAACAACATCCTTCCACCTCCCTAGCTACTTTTCCTTCATCTCCTTTGCTGGATCTCACCCTTTAAATGTTGGACTTCTCCAGGGTTCACTTCTTGGATTTCTCTAACTACGCTTATTTCCTCCAAGAGTGGAGATATCTGGTTAGCTTCATGGAGTCCCAAGGACTCCATGGATTTAATCCCAAGGATTTAAATACTGCTATGGGTTGACAAGTTCCACATTTACATCTCTAGCCTGGATCCATCCCTGAAGTCCAGACATGAGTCTCAGCTGCCTCCTCTTCCACGTATCTGCTTGAATTTCTACATCCCCACTTGGCTGCTCACTGAGTATCTAAACTCTACTGTGTCCAAAATGGAACTCTTCTTTCATCACCTAACAACGATAAAAACAAAATGCCCACCAGTTTAATTCACAGGTTTGTCCCTCTCAGGGCATGACAACTTCATCCTGCCTCTACTGTTTAGTGGTAGAATTGGAATTAAAGAACCAAGGTCTCCAGAGTCCTTTTCTACATGGTATTTAGTGTGAATTAAACATAAGCATCATAGTCAGGGAGCCTAGGTTTCCTCTCTACCTCTGTCACCTACTGGCTGTTTGACCTTGAGCAAGCTACTTCACCTCCTGAGCCTCAGTTTCCTCATCTGTATAATGGGGATAATAATAGTATCTAGCACATTTTCACATTGTTCATGCTTTTAGAGATTAAATGAAATAGGCCATATAAAGTACTTAGCACAAATTGCATTTTGAAAAAAAAAAGAGTAATTAGCCATTACTAGTATTGTGGGTTTTCTCCCTGTCTACTACCTCATATTTTATTTTTATATTTTGCCTTTTCCTTCCTTAGTCCAAACTCACAGAGATAGCACAGTTGACTCTAATTTAAGAGTTGTATAACCAAAGGCACAAGTCCTAACTTGGGTGAGAAGGGTATAAAAGTTGAAAAATTATTTTTGAAACAATAGAAATGTTAGTGTCCATGCCCATAAGCCTCAGTTTCTTTGTCTGACATTTAAGGTTCTCCACAATCTTTCCTCCGCCTATTTTCTAACTGCATTTTCCACCCTTCCCTTAAATTTCTCTAGTCAATATGGCCAACACCTGACCTGTGCAAACGCCATTTTCTCCGCCTTTGTCTCTTTCTCTCTCTGTTTATCAAACATTGACTTGATATTCAGCGCCAGGTTCTCCATGAAGCTAACCAGATATCTCCACTCTTGGATGATTTCGGACAGCATGAATCCCTCTCGCATTTTACGTCAAATTCTGTGATTAAATCAT